GTGCATGCGCGTGTGTGTATGCGTACGCGTGCGTGCATGCGCGTGTGTGTATGCGTACGCGTGCGTGCATGCGCATGTGTGCGTGCGTGTTTGTGCGCATACATACATGTAGGGCGTTGACTGAGTACTACACAGTATGTTAGGCGGGTGCATTGCACGGCTGTACAGTGAGAGCAGTCGGCCGTATATACTGCGGACCATCAACCGTACAACGATCCGCCAAGTGCAAGGATGCAGCCCGGATTAAATTGTTGAGTGGAAACAATTCGGAATTTGCCCGTTATCTTGTTCACAGCTAAGCTGCTAGTACGTACGCGCCGATTGGCGCATGCGTGCATGCATGTATGTGCGTGCGCGCTGGCGTCTGTGCGTGCGCTCGTGTGTATGCGTGCGTGTGTGTGTGTGTGTGTGCATCCGTGTGCGTGCGTTGTGTGCATGCGTGCGTGCGAGTGCGTTGTGCGTACGTGCGCACGTGTGCGTGCGTACATGAGCGTATGTGCGCGTACAGCTGTGTATGTTCAAGCGTACGTGTGCGTACATGTGAGCATGTGTGCGCGCGTATGTGTGTGTTTGTGCGCACGCGTGCGTTCGCGGGTGCTCACTTATCTACGTGCGTTCGTGCGTGCGAACGTACGTGTGTGTGTGCATCCGTGTGCGTACATATGTGCGTACGTGCGTGCGGGCGTTCGTACATATGTGCGTGCACGCGTGCGTGTGTGCGTACATATGTGCGTACGTGCGTGCGGGCGTTCGTACATATGTGCGTGCGTGCGTACGTGCGTGCGTATGTGCGTACGAGCGTTCGTGCGTGCATACATATGTGCGTGCGGGCGTTCGTAAATATGTGCGTACGTGCGTGCGTGCGTTCGTGCGTGCGTACATATGTGCGTGCGTGCGTTCGTACATATGTGCGTGCGTGCGTACGTGCGTGCATATGTACACGTGCAATCTACGAACACCCAGCGCGTGAATAAATCATCAGAGCTGTGACATTGATAGCCGAGCGCCAAAAGTATTCGCCGATATCAAGCCATTCACGCGCCGAGTAACCCCACCATTAGTTTGTTATCTTGTATACGCAAAGACCGAAAGATTTTAAGTTTAAAACCACAAGCAGGAGGCGATGCGGGCGTATTGTGAGAAGCTAATGCCGTAGCCCTGTGTTCACAGCTGTAGCCCAGCTTAGCTGCTCACTGCAAAGGGGACAGCGATCATTTCCATAAGTAATAGAGATGAAGATGAATGATATACCCTCTGGAAAATACTGCAAATCTGTGAGAGGGTCAATGTAATATCATGAGATTATGAACGCAGTCACCGTTAGCCTATGTGCCAGATGCCCAAGTGACGAGGCCATATATACGATAATACTGTTTGTAAATCTACGGAAATAGTATTAGAAATAATATAAGCCATATAAATATAAATCTATCTACATTTGAGGGAAGGGTCTTATAAGTGACTTCATAGGGGACTGGATGAAATTGCTGGATGCGTGCGTGCGTGCGCGCGTGCGTGCGTGCGCGCGTGCGCGTGTGCGTACGTACGTGTCAAAGTGCATTAGTGTGATACGATTTGTGCAATACAATCAGAATTATGATAACGACCCCTGGCGTAAATTCGAACAAGCGCAGATTTCTGCGTAGTGGGGATATCTGTGAAAACAGGAGCAAGATGAAGGCACAAAGCGACTATCGAGGCAAGTGTAATCAAATTAGGGTGGGCAAATTAGAGAACAAAATGCCCTGCAAATAAACCTTCCATCTCTGGCTCATCATCTTAATCTAATCTCCTATTATTACTATTATTATTATTATTAATATTAATATTATTATTATTATTATTATTATTATAATTATTATAATTATTATTATTATTGTATTCTTATTTAATCGTCATCTTTAAATCTTTAATATTCTCCCGCTATTGACTCACTATCTATATAAGATCTGCAGTATACTTCCAGTGCAAAATACAGTCGAGAAATAGTTGCACCCTAAAGCTTTGCGGAAAATAATCGAACGGTTAAAGGCTGATTGCAAAATCTATTGCATGATTATGTAATATCTTCATGCTCGTGAAAAGGCGACGGGGAATACACAAGCAAAGAGAATGCGTGGCCTTCATCTGTAACCACCGACGCACTCACGCACGCGCACACACGCACGCACACACACACACAAATAAATATAATATATATACATCTAGACAGTATCAAAACCGTATGCGTGTACAGTTTATGTCGTAGATTCTCGTGCGTGTAAGTGCGTGCGTGTATATGCGTGCGTGCGTGCGTGTACGTGTTTGTGTGGCGGCATATGTTACGTGATTAGGGCCCGGCGCGCATGGCGTGATTTAACATTGTGGCCATAAAGAGAAAATAATTACTCCCCTCGCCGGCAAGAAACTGATTAAGCAAATGGATTAATAATTTAAATTAATTACTCCACTATCGTTCTCGAGCGAAAATCCCGTGTTCGATGCGTGCACGCGTTCGTGCGTTCGTGTGGGTGTGCGCGTGCGTGCGTGCGTTCGTGTGCACCTATACGCCTGTGCGCGTGCATGTACGCGCGCATGTGTATGCGTACGCGTGCGTGCATGCGAGTGTGTGTATGCGTACGCGTACGCGTGCGTGCGTGCGCGTGTGTGTATGCGTACGCGTGCGTGCATGCGCGTGTGTGTATGCGTACGCGTGCGTGCATGCGCGTGTGTGTATGCGTACGCGTACGCGTGCGTGCATGCGCGTGTGTGTATGCGTA